AAGCACCTCTTACTAATTTCTATAAACTCAATTTTGACGGTTCGATTCTCAACAATTCAGCAGCGGCAGGGGTCATCATCAGAGACAGAAGAGGGTTACTTACTAGAGCACACACTTTTAACCTCGGCATTACCAAAGTCTTCATAGCAGAAGCTACAGCTCTTCATAAAGCCATTCTTCTCGGTCTCGAGCATAGGGTAAGAAACATTCATATTGAAGGTTACAATCTATTAGTAACCAACTTTGTCAAAGACATTTGGTCAGTTCCATAGAAAATTGAGCATATCATCAGAGATATCCACTCTCTTCTCAACAAGTTCGACAATTAGAGTATTCGACATATCTACCGGGAGGCGAATCAAGCAGCAGACTGGATTGCTAATGTTGGTCATTTAGTTAGTGATAGTATATATGGATATCATACCTGGTAATAACTCTTCTTTATTACCCATTCTTTCTTCAGATGCATTAGGAATTCTCCTCGTGAGGAGGGTTTCCTAAAGCTTTCATTTTTCTTACCATTTAAAAAAAAAAAAGCCTTGTGGTCAACTTTAGGGAGAAATTGTGGTATGATAGACAAGTATACCTGTGATAGAATTGAGCAAATATTAGATGTTAAAAAAATATGAAACTACAACCCATAAATATCTGCACCCCATGGACTATATATGTTTCCTTGCTTGTTCATGCTTTCAACATGTATCATTTAAAAAAATAATCACATTTACCAACCACTTAAGCATGAACTAAGGAGCTATAAAAATTAAAGTTTTTTCCAAGGACAAAAGTAAATAAAATTCCTAATAATATTTAGTTTTACTAATGGAAAGGTCAAACTTATTTATAAAATGTACAATTTGGTAATCAGATAACAAAGTCTATCCCTTGCCATCTTGCATTTCGAGATCTTCTATAAGATCTTTAAGAAACCAAGACCAACTTTCTTTGGATTCAGTCTCTAAAACTACCCAATCAACTGAATACATTTGATTGTTTGCATCCCTTGTTGTGGCACTAAGAAGCTCAGATCATCCTTACAATATCCTTTAATGAATACTTCATTAAGGTCAAGAACCTTTCTGCACCCATGGAGAAATCCTTGTCTCAAAGCAGCAAAATTGATGTAGAACATATGAAATTGAGGTTCCAATTGTGAAATATGTGGTTTTAAAGATAAGAACACGCTAGTATCCACATTAGAAGTCTTCAGTTCATGCATATGACTTATGAGAAATTCATATTGTTTTTCAACAACCTTTGCACATGCAAACAAGACTTTTTTTTTTAGCTCTTGTAGCTTGCCTCCTATTAATCTTTACACCGTGGGTGTCTTCTACATCTTGAATAAACATTTTAGTTTCCAAGTAGGATGTTTTAATTAGAAGCTTTTCTTGGTATTCCTCAGCAAGAAAATTGTGAACATCTTTTATAAATCAGATTTGTAAGCACCCAAACTCCTTTGTATACCTCGCACTAAATAAGCTTCCAACGACACCCATTCCAATAAAACTTGCATTTTACAAGTAGTTATTGCAGTTCATTATGGCAATAGTTCCATGCCTTAGGGTTTGGCAACTATATAGGATGAGTGCTTTTTTTAACATGTTGACATTTGGAATAATTGCCCCAACTCTATTTAAACAAACCCAAATGGAGTATTAGGATCATATAGAGGTTAATCACATTTCAGTAGAACTTTAGAACTTTCCTCGTCATCGCTACAACTAAGTGGACTTTAATCCTCATAATCTATTTCACTTCCATCCATGTCATCACCTCATCTCGTTCAAGATATTCACCTACACCCCAAAAATTATTTTTCACTTTTGCAGGCTTGTTTGCTTGTCTATATTTCTCCATGTCCCTATTGTGATCTATACTGACCTTCTCAAAATTCTTTTCCTCCATGATTTTTTTTCCCAGAATCATTTCTTTTAGTTACCCATTCTTTTTTCTTTATTTGCACATTATTAAACTCTTCATCGTCTACTTCCGGTTTCAACATTATTCACTCTAATGTAACTCCTCATTTTGATCACCATTTATAATTTCCACAGGAACTTGTGTAGTTTTTATTTTTTATTAAGTTCCCCCGAATAATCAACTTTTATTTCCGATAGATACAAAAGTTCTCCATTATCACCTTCTTCAAAAGAATGATGGAAGTACAATTCATGGCCCATGTGTAACCCCTTCAATACGAAGTTCAATTCCTCCATTGTCTCGTCATCACATAAAAATTGAAAGCCCTTTTTTTTTTAGTTTTTTTTTTTTTAACAAGATAGAATATGTCAACATTACTATAAGAGTAACCTAACAACTCAATCAGTTTTTTGGTCCTTGTAAAATCGAATTTACATATGTCAATTTCTCCTTCAATGCAAGACCCACATAAATCACATCTTTTCTCCCGTCAACTAATGTCCCCCCTATGGAAGCATTTGAAAAGAAGAATTGTATTTGGATATTCTGCACCAGAAAAAATAACATACAATTCTTCATACTTCCTATGTTTTTATTTAGATGCATGCATATCACTTATATAATTGCGGACTCCTAGAAAAAATTTTGGAGTAGAGAGAGAAAGAGAGCAAAAATAAAGAGGGTTCATAAAGTACGAAAGAGATAGAGAAAATTTAATAACTAAAAGGGAAAGACGAAAAATGATGTATCTAAATTAGAAGTTCTATTCTTTTAGAAAGTGACGCATCTAATATAAAACGAGGAAGTATTAACAATGTAATAATTGGACTCAAATTTGATATTGTAGGGATTATCATCTATCAAGTATAGTATTCAAATGCAATTATATATGAAGAATTTGAATTACATTGTTTTTTACAAATTTTTTATTAGGTTTTTATTAGGTTTTTCCAAAAAATAAACGGAACCTAATTAGGCCTAGGGTTCTTAACTTCTTACTTCCTCCATTTTTTTACTTGTTCTGTTTCATTTATCATGCTTGCTAATGCAAACCTTTAATCATCAATAACTTAAATTTCATAAGTAAAAATTATAAATGTTATAAATATTAGGAAAATTTGTCAGAGACAACCTTTTAAAATACATTTTTTGTCTAAGACAACCTTTTGAAATTTTTTGGCAAATTAAGTGAAACCTTACTTAAAAATTATTTTATTAGGAACAACCACGCTCCACTTTCAGGCGTTGATTGTCCCTTTTTCCGACGTTGACTTCCATGTGCCGTGCACGTGACCCTTATTTCTCTTAATTGCACCCCTTTTCTCTCTAATTTTTTTCAATTTGACCCATATTCTCTCTCTTCCTAGCTACATCATTAATGTTTGCAAAAACATCAATCCATGCTCCCCCATTAATGCCAGCAACTTGAAGACCTTCTTAAATCGTCATTTACGAAGTCCTTCTAGCAACTGGAAACCCACACCCGCATCTCTTCTCTTCAAATCAAGCCATTCTAGGCTGCAGTTTCTACCAAATGAAACCCAAATCAAAACTCTAGTTTTATAAATTGAGAAATACAACCAAAATTAAATCAATTAGTATCGATAAACTCACCTTAATGCCAAGAAATTCAATCCAACCACTTGCGAAGTGTAGAATTCCCCCTTCAAACTTCTAAATTGGGATTAATTTTCGTTCTAGATGTAAGGGGGTCTAATTGAAGAAGGGTAGGGTTTTAAGTGAAAAAAATGGAGGGAAAAGGGGTGTAATTAGGAGAAATAAGGGTCACGTGCAAGGCACATGGGAGTCAATGCCGGAAAAGGGATAGTCAATGCCTAAAAGTGTAGCGTGGTTGTTCCTAACAAAATTTTTTTTAAGTAAGGTTTCACTTTGCCAGAAAATTTTAAAAGGTTGTCTTAGACAAAAAAAATGTGTTTTAAAAGGTTTTCTTTGACAAATTTTCCTAAATATTATGATAGTAGTTAATCTAGTTATTGAGACTAGTCTAACAATATCCCACATGAATATGTTTTTCCTTACAAATAATTCTCAAAAGTGGTCAAAAGAGGGGTGGTGAATAGTGTAAAAGTAAAAACGTGTCAAGTAAAAAAAATAACGAAGAATTATAAACGTAGCTTTCTTAATCTTAATAGGAAAAATGAAAACTAATAATCCCACTTTTGCCATTTCTGCTCAAAACAATCCCACTTTTTCGAAATCTGGAAACAATCCCACCTTTAACTCTCATATTCTCAAAACAAGCCTTTTACCGATTTGTGAAATTGGTAACCTGTTTAAGTGTCACCTTCTGATTGGTTTTTTTTATTAATTTAAAAAAAAAAAAAAGAATAAAAAAAAAATTAATCCCTCTTTCCCCTTCCACCCTGCCAGAGCCCCCTCCCCTTGCCGGACCAGCCGCCCGCCGGACCCAACCATCCTCCATTTGCCGGAGCCTAACACAGAGTACTCCTAACCATACCCTAGGCCACCGAATCGGAAAATCCCACCTGACCCACAATTGCAGACCACTCAAACTCTACAATTGCAATTTGCAATTTCATCAGACCACTCAAACTTGTATATGGTTATTTGCAATTTCATCAGACCACTCAAACTCCACAATTGCGGAGGTCGGTGGAGGTCAGGTCATATTGACAACATAAAGTCCTAAATGTCCACATGGAACTCCAAATCGGTGGAGGTCAGGTGGGTCGTAGGGTCGTTGAGGTCAGGTGGAATTCTAGTGTTTCGGGGTTGGGTGAGAGGGCTGCTGGACTAGGCGGGGTTGGGTGGGGGGTTCTGCTGGCAAAGTTGGGTCAGGTGGTGGTGTTGATGAGGTTGGTTAAGGAGGGGGTGGTGATAATGGTGTAGCCGCCATTGAAGAGGTTAGGAAGGAAAGCTTAAGAAATAAAATTTTTTAACCTGTGAAACAGGTTATGGGTAAAAAGGATAATTTTGAGCTGTTAGGGCCAAAAGTGGAATCATTTTCAGATTTCGAAAAGGTATAATTATTTTGAGCTAAAGTTGAAAATGTGAGATTATTAGTTTTCATTTATCCATCTTAATAAAAAAGTGGAAAGATAAAAAATTTGTTATAGAAAAATTCTAGGGCTTTTTAAGTCAAAAAAAAAAAAAAAAAAATTCTAGGGCTTTCGACTTCACTCTCTCGTTTCTTCAAACTAGTTCTCCGATTTCCATAACCACACTCTCTCACTTTAAACCCACTTCTCTGATCGAACTCAAACAAACCCTCCTGTTTCTCTCTCCTCTCCTTTGCTTTCTCTCTCTAAAAATGGGGTTCAATTTACAGCCGTACGGTATACAATCCATGCTTAAGGAAGGCCATCGCCATCTTTCTGGTGTCGAAGAAGCCGTCTGTAAAAATATCGAAGCCTGCAAAGAACTTTCCGACATTACTCGCACTTCTCTTGGCCCCAATGGTAAAATATCCCTCTTTTTCTCTCTTAGATCACAAATTCTGGGTTTTTGTTCTGATTTATGATGTGGGTTATTGCTTGTTTGCTTAAATTTGTTGTCTTGGAAAAAACCCTGAATTTTTTTTTGCAGTTTTTTTGAATGTTTTTTTTGATGTTATTTGCTTTGTTCGAGTGTCAATTTTTCTGGGTTTAGGTTTTAATGGGCTGAAATGAACTTCCGTTTTTGGGAATGATTTGAATTTTTGGATTATGTATGTTAAGTATAGTAGTTAGCTCTAGGTTTTTGATGTAATTGGATCCTTCACTCTAGCTTAATGTATTGGATATTGTCAATGATTTGAGTATTATATAGTGTTAATGCGCCATTTAAATTAATAATTAAGACCTAAATGAAGGTCCAAACCCCCAAATTAACCGCACTTTACTCTTGGATCCACTCTATTATTCGTCCTTGCGAATGGGTTTCACTTGCTTGGCGGAGGGAAACATGATTTGGAGCACTTGAAGTAGCTTTAGGGTTTCTATATTATTATTTTTGCCCTCATTCGTCGGGGGATCTCACATGGTTCGATATTACTATAAGTTGAATTTGGGAGATTTTTTTTGTATGTTGTGTAGGGAGGAACAAGTTGGTCATTAATCACTTGGATAAGCAATTTATCACAAATGATGCTGGTACTATTGTGAGTGAGCTAGAGATACAGCACCCTGCTGCTAAAATCTTGGTTTTAGCCGGTAAAGCTCAGCAAGAGGAGATTGGAGATGGAGCAAACTTGACAATCTCATTTGCAGGAGAGCTTCTTCGAGGTGCAGAAGAGCTAATAAGAATGGGATTGCACCCAAGTGAAATTATCATGGGATATACCAAAGGGATCAATGAGGTTCGTCATATCTATTATGCTTGATACGTTTTATTCAAATGTGTAACAGGTTTAAAGACACATGCTTATTGAATTGATATATTTTTTTAAATTTTCCTTAAGACAATTAAAATCTTGGGTGAGTTGGTTGAGGAAGGCTCTGACAAAATGGACGTGAGAAACAAGGATGAGGTTATTTCTCGGATGAAAGCTGCGGTTGCAAGCAAGCAATTTGGCCAGGAGGATATGCTGTGCAACCTTATTGCCGATGTAATTGGCCTTTGCTCATCATTTTCATGAAATCAGTTTCCTTGTAGTACTGTTAGTCATTCATTTCTTAATTGGCTTCAACTTTCACTGTTCCATAGGCATGCATCCAAGTGTGTCCATACAACCCTGTAAACTTCAATGTCGATAATGTGCGTGTTGCCAAACTTGTGGGAGGTGGTTTGCACAACTCTACTGTTGTGCGAGGAATGGTTTTGAAGAGTGATGCTGTTGGCAGCATAAAGCGAGTGGAGAAATCCAAGGCAAGTTATTCTTCATGTTTCCATTGTCTTTTCACGAGGTGGTGTTATTACCTTTATTTGATCTTCTTACATTTGTATTTGTTGCAAACTAACTTGTCGAGAGTGAGTATATAGCTCTATATGTTAGTATATCCTGCCTACTCTGTAATCATATTTGGTGCCTTTAAGAGTGATGCTATTATGTTTTTTTCTTTTCAAATTCCTTCTTATTTTCTCACCAAAGGTGAAGGAATTAAGATTAACATTTTGCCATCCTGGATTATAGTATTCTCTCTCTTAATGACTAACTTTCTTATGAGCTCCATTTTGTTGACTGCTGCTTCTCTTTAATTTGCTTTCCACTTGCAAAGAAGAGCTCGGTAGTAAGTTAGTAACATTATGCTGTTTGATAGATGGGTATATGTGATGGTCAATGTTTGGAATGAAGTGGCTCAAAATTAGGTTAAGGGGGACTTCTGTTCCAAGTAAGGTAAAAGGTTTGGCTTAGATGTATGCTTACATTAAAACGATCAACTGGATGACTATTGACTAAGGATGTGTGATCCTGGTAAGATATGTCTGTGAAGAACTCAGACATAAAGGAGAATTGCAAAATTGACTTGGGAGTGTTGGGGGGGCAGGGGGGAGGAAGGGTCACTTGACTGCCTAAAGCTCACTAATAGGATCCCCTCCTCTGGTTTTTAATAACAATTAAAGGGAAAATCCCATAGGAGCCCCTCCTCTGGTTTGTAATACTTGAAGTATTCCTAGTCTTCTTATTGTATCCTGGGCGCATGTCTCTTTTTAACTTTGACCTTGTGCTGGTCAGATCCTTATCTATTCCTTCCTACTTATCAACCCTTTATGATTAGGTTGTCTTTTACATTTCTTCTAGAAATGCTACTTTTTTCACTACTTCTGTTGTCTACTTCTTTCACTACCACTGTTAGCTCTTTCAAAACTGTTAATTGACTACTTCCTGGCTTTATGTACTTTTCTGTTACCAAATTACTCTATTCTACATTTTTACTCATAAGCTCCTGATGTTTTCAATGTGGGAAAATGCAATACTATAGTCCTTGATTGTTTGATTGTGCATCTTCAGGTTGCTGTGTTCGTACAAGGTGTAGATACTTCAGCTACCGAAACAAAAGGAACTGTTCTCATTCACAGTGCTGAGCAGGTACCCTGGCTATTTATAGCTTACTTTGATGATCAGATGAAAATATATTGATTGCAATTGCTTTTTGGACCCTTCATTTTATGTCACATCCCCATGCCAGGTAGTCAATACTACGACATGGGTATTGTTGTATTGACCTTGAATCTTCATTTTTCATGAAATAGCGCACATGTATTTTTTACGGATAGCCAAATCTAAAAAACGTTGGCCTATACAAATACCGTGTGTTAACTGGGCATGGCTATTGTTAAATGTCTGAGATGGGCATTGTCAAATTAGAATACAGTTGCTATTGTAATTCTATAGTAAATCTTATATATATTTCCATACTTTGCAGCTGGAGAATTATTCCAAAACTGAAGAAGCAAGAGTTGAAGAGCTCATTAAGACAGTTGCCGAATCTGGTGCCAAAGTTATAGTCAGTGGTGGTGCTGTAGGAGACATGGCATTGCACTTCTGTGAGCGTTACAAGTATGTGTTGTCTGCTTCTAAAAGCTTTATATTCATTTTTTGTCTTATTTTTGGTCACTAGCTTGACAAAGCCTTGTTGGTTGCAAGTTCAGAAATTTGTGAACTTGTGAAAGAAAATTCATGCATTGGATCGTAAGGGATGGAGGAGGAAGATTTTTGTGGATGACTACACGGAATAATCAAATTTGGTTCATGTAGCCGACCCCACTTATGGGATTAAGGCTTTGATTGATTGATTGATTGATTGAAAGAAAATTCATGTGGGTGTGTGAAGGCAACCTATTTCCTTGTCTTTAGTTATGAATAAATAAAAAGCTTACAAGTATAGAGCCATGGGCATAGTACACTGTCCAGTAAATGAAAACTTTATTTATATTATCATGCCTTGAAGATGTATTTCCATATTGTCTCCTCACACGTTTGAAATTGTTGACTATATTTAATGGTATTTGGAAATAGAAATTTTGAGTCCTGTTGCTACTTGCTAATACTGGATAGCTCTCTTTTGGTATAACAAGCTTCTATGTAGAGGATGATAACCAGCATGACATGGACATATTGCTGTTGTGTCAATTTGTTTCATTTAATTAATGTTTTCGTTTGGTGGATAATTTTGTTATGTAGTTATATTCTTCTTACTAACCAATGTGATGGAGTTATGATGTATGTGAATTGTGAAGTGCTTTGTTTGATCTTGACATGCTAATTCTGGCTGTTGTGGTGTAATGAGGTTGATATTCACCATATAGTAAAATGATTCTTACTTGTTGTAGGATCTTGAGTATGGATTAATTGCTAAGGTAATTTGTTGATATGCTATGTTGTAGTAAAAAGGGTATGCTCGAATTCTTTGTGTTTTTTGGATGTTAATTCTGTTTCGCTTGGTTGCAGGCTTATGGTCCTCAAGATCAGCTCTAAGTTCGAGTTGCGAAGATTTTGTCGCACAACTGGGGCAGTTGCACTGGTAAGAAATTCTAAATGTGGTGGTTTTCTTTTAACTTATCCTTTTGGTTTCCCTTACTTATGTGCGCTTATAATCGGTATGGCAGTTAAAACTCAGCCAGCCTAATCCAAATGATTTGGGACATGTCGATTCTGTTTCCGTTGAGGAAATTGGTGGTACCAGGGTATGTTTGTTGATCAGCATTGTTACATCCAATTGTGTTATAGGGTGGTAATCTCTTATAATTCTCTTATGGCTTCTCTCCAGCTCCCATGTCTTTGATGGCTGTAAGAATTTATTCTTATATTATCTTGCTCCTGTAGGTCACTGTTGTAAGAAATGAAGAAGGTGGAAACTCTTTGACAACTGTGGTATTACGAGGAAGTACAGATAGTATATTGGATGATCTGGAAAGAGCAGTTGATGATGGAGTAAACACTTACAAGGCAAGTTTTTGCACTTCGTTTTTTGTCTTCATAAATATCGGAGTTTGAATAAGATGCTCATGTTTTGTTATGCTCTTTGTTTCCAGGCTATGTGCAAGGATAGTCGAACTGTCCCTGGTGCAGCAGCTACTGAGATTGAGTTGGCGAGGAGACTGAAGGAATTCTCTTTCAAAGAAACAGGGTAATTATGGATCTTAGACTTTTAGGATGATCGTGTTAGTACCAAGCTGTTAATAACTAGTTGGAGGAACCTCGTATTGATAGGTTTTGTCATTTCCTTTCGGGTCTGACCAAGCTGGTCATTTTGCTGTCATATCATCACGGCTTTAATTAAACTGCAGTGCTGCCTACTGAGTGCTGGCAATGTTTCTCCTTTCTCATCTTGCACTCTGTCTTTTTGTGATAAGATGTATCAGATGACTTGTCATGTCTATTTCCATTTTTCGTAAAATAACTTTAATGTATTTTATGTTCCCTGCCATCATCCTAGGTCTTTCAGTTAGACTTAAATGCACTTTGTTGTGTACTCATGCTATCAAGATAGAGTCTGATTTGAACATAGTTGCTTGAGAACATTATTAATCTGTTTGGACCGTTTCTTCCCCCTGTGAAAGATTTTAGTGCCATGCATGAATGTCAAATTCCTTTTAATGGTAATTATGCATGCAATTTTGACTTGTCTATTATGTTCCTTGTATTGACTTTATTCTTAGACTTTGATGGACTTAATCATGTTAATGTATGAATAATGCTATTTAGGAATTTATAGAAGGTTTATTATGTGTTATTTGTTTTTTTATCTCCGTCAATGAATGTAGGATTTGTATGTTGATGCATGAAATATGATTTGTCAGTTCTGCTCCCTTAATTGACTCTAATTTTTAGACATCATGTGGACTAAGCTCTCCAATCACTTTTGGTGTCGCATTTTCTTTGATCAAGTTAAATGTGGTTTCAAGAACTGTAATTTTAGTTGTCGGTAAAGTGTCCATTGCTTCTGTTCTTATCTGCTTTATGTGTATATTTAAAAGCTTGCCTATCAATCAGAGAAGTCATATGGAAATAAGTTGAGCATTACTTTTCACACACTAGTGCTTTTTCTTTATTAGTAATCTCTCTTCAAAGTAGTTGGATGAATTGTTTGCATGTCTACATTAGGCTTATTTTTTTAGTCATTTTCCCATCCTATCTCTTTCTAGTTCTATCTTTATTTTTTGCTTTAAAGTCTCATGCTTTGTGCAATATTATCAGCCCTGTTGCTCTGAGAATTATTTTACATAACCATTCATGTCTACAGGTTAGATCAGTATGCCATTGCAAAGTTTGCGGAGAGCTTTGAGATGGTCCCCAGAACACTAGCAGAGAATGCTGGCCTTGATGCGATGCAAATCATATCATCATTATATAGTGAACATTCATCTGGGAATACAAGAGTTGGCATTGACCTTGAGGAGGGTGCCTGCAAGGATGTTTCAACATTGAGTATCTGGGACCTCCATGTCACCAAGTAAGATATTTTCCGCTCGCCTAGTGTACTCATTTCCCAAATTTGTATCAAATTTTCATATAATATTTGCTCGAGGAATCTCAGTTTTAATTAATACTACCTCCGTTTTTATTTAGTTAACACCTTTCTCTTATCACGCTTGCCAACGCACTATTTTAACCATTAATATTTCTAATTCTCGACATTGTAAAATTATAAAAAGTGGATATTAATAAAACATACATTGAGACGATTCAAACAAGATCCCACTTGACTATGTTTTATCGTAGCTATAAATCACAAAAGCTAGTCAAAGTGTAGTTTGTGCATAGTGTAAAAGTCAAATGGTGTCAATAAAAAAAAACAGAGGAAGTATATTGTAAATCAAGTGTCAATTATTAATTGCCCTTCTAGCAATGTCCTGGCCAAAATTTTCAGTTAGAGCTGCTGGGTCGTACATAAAGCTTGTGTCTGAGCTAGATAATCGTAACTTAAATTACTGCATTCTGTGCAGGTTCTTTGCTCTCAAATATGCTGCCGACGCTGTCTGCACTGTTCTACGAGTTGATCAGGTACATTACAACTTGCTTTGTAGCTTGAAAAGTTGAAATGGATAATGTGGGTAAAAGGTTGATTGTCTAGTGTCTACTAACATGGCAATAATCCAATTGGTAAAGGAAAATTGGGTTAATTTTTTAGAGTTCAACTCTTCTTCCTGTATCATTAATTCAGAATACTACCGAGTCTGCTTCGCTAAGCATTGTATAAGGGGGTCAACTCAAGCTATCTCAATTCTCAACTGCTTTACTTTACTATCTTGTCAGTGTATGATGCCTGCGCTTATATGGTTCTCTGTAATTATGAACGACCTATAAGATAACTCTGTGCGCGTATGAACCGGCCAAACCCACTTCCTGTAGGACTTAATAGTTTTCTTTTGTGGGGAATTCACCCACCTTAGCATTGCTATTGCGTTCAACTGGGGGTAAAAGTCCGCTGTCACCATTTTCAATAATATGGTTGGTTCTCTTAGCTTTAAAAGATGCACATCAAGGCCCTAAGGCAAAGGCTAGGGCAAGGACCTCAAGGCGCACTTATATTTACATAATTTTTATTTGTTCTTTGTAAAGGTATAGTGAGAATGTGAGATATATTGAAGAGATTAGTGAAATAACCTGAATAGGCTAGAACCACCAGGGCAGACAGTGCTGACAACCACTGGAGAAGCCTTGCCACTTAAGCCAGTGACTGCCATTTCTTAATTGCTAGCCAACCTGTGAATTGTTATAATAAAATTTAAATAATTAGATTATAATTTGAGGGTCAAACCTTGTTCAGGACTTCAGGATGGATTTACATATTTCTTGCGTCTTTGCTCTTTTGTGATCTCCTGATTAACTCTTGATTTACAGTAGTTAGGTTATTTATAATGGTTAATTTTGCCCTGCAGATCATAATGGCAAAACAAGCTGGTGGACCTAGGAGAGATGCTGCCGCTGCTGCTGGTGCTGGAATGGAAGAGGACTAAGTGCTTCCTATGAAAAGCTTTTTGTTTTTCCCTTTTTTGGTTTGTAATTTTGTTGGTTCACGTAAAATCCGTTTCCTGGCTGCATTATTTACCTCTTATTTTAGTGTTTTTTGGATGATTTGAAACACAAAATTTTGCTATGGAGAGTGGCTAGATTGTTGTTGTAGCTATAGTCAGAAGAAATTAGTAAAGAAAAACTGTTAAGTCGTAGATCAGTTCTAAGAGTTCATGTCATATGCTTATCTTGTTTGGGGAAGAAAACTGAATCTACAACTTTAATTTTATAGTTATTATTCTTTTATTCTCCTATTCATCTTGTTTTGGTAAGGTAGTGAGCTTCTCTACCTCTGTAAACAACTATGCCGTATCTAATGTTCTAATCTTTAAAAGAAATCCAAGTCTTGAGGTAAATCTGTGACATTTGTGCATGATTATATTACAAAAACATTCATTTAATGTCAGCTTACGAGTGATTTGAATTTGTTAAAGCTCCTGTGTACCCTGAGGTTAGGTGGTTGTGAATACAGATGAAGCACCGAGGGCTGTGGGTTTGTCCTGGTATTCCCAGCCAACTTTGGGATGTATACAGCTGTAAAAAGCGGTGCTGTTGGCTTTGGTCAGAGGCCTGAAGTTGTAAGTTAATTGTGATGATGTATAACAAATCAGTGTACAAAAACCTTCTAGTAGCAATTTAATGGTGAAAATGCATGCATTCATTGCTAAGAGTTGCTGGAACCTGTGGAGGAGGGAACATTATGAAAGACCATGGCTTTCAGGCTATGGAAGGCTAGCAGAGTTGCTGTTGAGTTGGCCAAATGCGGGGTGACCTTAACAGGGAGATGCACTAGAATTCTGCATGTCATCCAAATTATTTCAAAACTAGTCGTAATATTTCAATTAAAACTGTTATCTCAACAATATATCGAGTTACTTATCTCTCAATATCATAACAAATCATCTCTCAATAACATTTACGTAGGGCGAATACAAGTGTGCTATGTTCTTTATTTATATTTCTACATTTCTAGCCTCATTGCAACAACCAAAGTTGAAAAAAAAACTACCCTCAAAATAAAAATTAAATTAATAAATTAAGAGTGGAGCCAAAAGGCCCAAAACTACAAATATGAAGCCAAAAAAAAAGGGTGTCCCACTCCCACACATGAGAAAATCCCACTTGAAAAAACCAAAAAAAGAGGATGAGAAACCTCTATCTCACCTCATCATCTACTGCCACTGATACATTCTATGGCCTCTCTACTACCATTCTCCCTGCTCAAACCCACCACAATCTGCAAAGCCTCCTCAGCCCCGGCAACAATCGCCTCACCGTCTTCTCTAGTTGAGTCTCTCAATGATCAATTTGGTAGGAAAGGCATAAATTTTTTAGAATCAACTGATACTGGTACAAATGTTAGTACTCCCATAGTTGAGCTAAGTGTAAGAAATGGGAGCTCATTAAAGCTGCAACTATCAAATGCACATGTTACCTCATATAGGCCTAAAGTGTACTGGAAAGACGACGGTTTTGAAGAGGTTTTGTACACACTTCCACAATCCAAAGGCGGTATTGGATTAGTGCTTAATGATGTAACACAACCAGTTGCTGCTGCTACTAAGAAACCAGACCCTTTCAGAAAGTCTGAACCCGCTGCAGCTAAAGGGTCAGTGCTTGCAGGAGCTGAGTGGTCTGTAAAAAATGTTGATTCTGACTCTTTTGATGCTGTCCAGGTATAATCGAAACACAGTTGTCTCAATTTTCTTATCTTGTTGTAAACGGCATTGTATGACAAATTGATCAATTGGCCAATTACTTTGCTTCTAAGTATTGAATTGTGCTAGCGTAGAGGTTGTGATACTATTATGTAGTTTGAAGTACTACTTAGCAAACTCTAATTTACAATGGCTATATGTACTCTAAATCATAGGGGGTAAGGCCGGCCATAAGGCAACCCGTATCGGAATCCCTCATTGACGTTTCCAAAAGGAGATAGTAGAGACCATCCACATAATCTGAAGATTGAATTAGTCACATACGAAGTACTACTTTAGGATGTCAAGAATATATTGTCACATCTCCTAATGTAGTAATAAGAGATCATTAAATTACATATACCATTACTTGATTAATGTACGACACGAAAGAATTGACTTAGCTATTATAAAGGTTTCTTTTGGGGGTAGAATCATACAGTAATTATGAGGATTTGGGACTTGGGACAGAGGCGACTAGATAGAATCATGGAGGGAGTAGTTTCTAAACTGTTTAGGTATAGTAAGACTGATTAATTTGACATCTCTGACTGGCTTACTGCTTTCCTATGAGGGGTTTGCAATGGTACTAATTAATGATAAATTGGGTTTTAATTTGTTTGTCTGCTTATTATGCTCCGAAGTATCTGGAAATTATTGCACTTAACTCTAAATAAAATCCGAACTTTTAGACAAAAAATTAGAAGCACGGAGTTTAAGATGTTATAGCACGCTTGAACACTTTATTAATATATAATGAACAAACATTCAATTATTCAAATGTTACAAATACTTTGCAAGCTTAGCTTCCTATAAGAAGCATGTAACAAATGATCTAAGCATAGTTTGGTGGTTTTCCCCTATAATATCATCTTTTATAGCGTAGGATGATTACATAGAGCTTAGAACCAAAAAGTGTTTATAAGCCATCAGTTGAAAGCAAGAAAATTCGTTTTCTGCTAGACTTAAAAAGGTGCATTCAATCCTTTTTACCTTTTCACTTAATCTTCTTTCAGGTTGAATTGAGTTGCACCAGTGGAACTCTAGACATAACATATGTAGTTTCCCTGTATCCTGAAAGCATGGCATCAGCAGTTCTTGTGAAGAACAATGGCCGCAAGGCGATTGATCTTACAAGTGCGATACTCAGCCATATCAAATTCAAAAAACGTGGAGGCTCGGGAATACAAGGACTTCAAGGTTGCTCTTATTGTTCCCAACCTCCTTTATCTTCACCTTTTGAGATTCTTTCTCCTGCTGAGGCCATGAAAGCTGATAGTTCCCAGTCTCCTAGCAAGCCCGGTCAATGGACCACGCAAGATGTGCCTATTACCATTTTAAAGGATAAGTTTAGCAGGGTTTATACAGCTCCTCCTTCAGAGAGATCAAAGCGATTCTACAGAACCCCACCATCAAAATATGAGACAATTGATCAGGTAACTGAAAAACCTTCATCTGACTGAAACTCTTATGTTTACTGCATAATAAACCTGATACATTCTGCTATCATTTTCTGACTGAAACTCTTATGTTTTCGTTGTTTTAGGGAAAGGAGCTTGAGTTTCGAGTGATTAGAATGGGTTATGACGACATATACTTAGCAAGCCCTGGTTCTTTATCTGAAAAATATGGCAGGGATTACTTCATCTGCACAGGACCTGCTTCGATGTTGGTACCAGTGACTGTGGACCCAGGGGAGGGGTGGAGAGGGGCTCAGGTTATCGAGCATGATAATCTTACATAATTTGTAATTACATTCACTGTAAAGATGTGTCATTGTAACATGATTTATCACCTTGAAGATAAATAGGCTTCATAAATCATTTATTCATGTGACTCTGAAAGTTTACCAGTAAGCTGTTACATACTCCGCATGTTGTAGTATAGGTTAAGCAATTTGGATCCACCAAGGAAGAAAATAATCTTAACTTCATAAGAGTAGCAGTGAAATATAAAGATCTAATAGATATCTAGATGGAATGGTTGATCTACTTAATTACACTTAAATGGAAAGAATGAGCTCAATCACTGGGGTATGTTGTGCAAATTATATCCTACATCCTGGAATATGTTGTGCATTGTGCTCCATAATAAACATGTTACATATTCATAATGAATATATCATATATTTGTCATAGAATAAACGTTCTGATTGTATATTTGGATGGAATAGGATCAGCAGACAGTAAGTATGGGGCTATTTAATGATAACATAAGTCTGAATCATAAGGCTGCTTACCCCCTCCTAAGGCTTTTCCTTCTTCACCCTAAAAACACTTCTGTATTTTAGGAGGAATAAGTTTACAATAATAAGTTCTTTGATAAGCTCTAATAAGTTTAGAGAAGCAAATTTCAGGTAAAAATTAATAGGGGACATTATTTCGCCTTTAAATAATTTTTCTAAATTTAACAATAAGAAAAAATTTGTTAAGCTAATCGCCATAAGTTGACAATAATCAACAGAAAATATCTCAATATACACTTCCAACTAAAAGCTCTGCTTGAGACAAATTGCTGGTAGCAAGGATAAGTGGACCCTCTCTATCTTCTTTTGCTTCCTCTTGGACTTCAAGCCATTTCTACATTCTATACTATGAACACCATATCTTGATGGAACACAAGAAAAAATGTCTTGCAGTTTTCTTTTCCCATCAAACTCCTCTCTAGTAACCACTAGAAAATCCATAACCTCCCCTACCTCATTACCTCCTTACCTTTTGTCTACTTCATCCCGATATATTACCTTCAATAAAAGAGACTTTGTATTACCAATATCTGTGACTTCTCCTTCAGTTGCCTACCCACAACCGCCCTTTAATGTTGAGTACTTGCAGATTGAATTTGGAAGCCATGGAGTATCATTCGCCGAGCTTGGACAAAGCAGCTATGTCATCAGGATGCTCTTGGAGAATGGGAGTGCAGCCAGTATTTTGATGCCTAGTGGTCTGATCACATCCTATAAGCCTAAGATGTGGCATGGAAGCTCCATTGAGGTTTTGCATACCTCTGTTTCGGAACGAGGAGCTATGTATGGTGATGGTGGTGGTGGTCCTATCATTCAAGGTGGTGTTTCTTTGGCCTTGAAATGTGTTGGTGAGAATGGGTTTTCATGGTCTCCTCTTAGTTGGATTCTGACTGATGTTAAGGGTAGCTCCCAAGATTCTATTCAGGTTTGCTTCTGATATTATTAGAGAAACATTGAGGTACTGAATTTTTGTTACATAATTGACATATACAAGTAGAAAGAAGGTTTCAATGATCAAACAGTTACGCAACTGATATGAATTATAAGAAACAGCAAAGCAAATTTGTACTCACTTCATTGGTAGCATTAAGGTAATATGAAATACTACAATATCTAACTTACTATGGAAAGAAGGACCAATTATTATCTGATTGCAGCAGGAATTGTTAACTTGTAGTCTCCTCTTTAAGTGAGTAAATCGAGTTAAATTACTGAACTAACATGTGGTGCAAATTTTATAGACATTTTAGCTGTTGTAAGGTGATTAAAGTTCAGTTTCCTCGCCACAGTTTTACTGATGGCATATTGTATATCTTAAAATGCAGGTAGAATTGATAAGCAGAGAAATTGAAAACATGGTTGAAGTAAAATACACTATAACTCTGAAAGATGATACCTTGAATTCAGAGGTCAGTGTATTAAACTCGAGATCTTCACAACTCGAGTTAACAGGTTCTATTCTAAGCCATCTGACTGTGAGCTCACCAGATGCCACTTATGCATTTGGACTAGAGGGATCAAATTATGTCAACAAGCTACCTCCCATCTCAGACTTCTTCATAATGCCTCCCAACTTGGCAAAGAACAAAAAGACTAGTCCTAGTCAGTCATGGCCTCTATCATCACTCAAAGAGTTGTTTGGTGCAAAAACCGACGATACAGAAATAAACGAGCAAACAGAAGGTGAAGAGGAAGATAATTATAAGCATTTATCTGGAAAAATGAGCAGGATATACACATGCGCACCTCGAAACTTCACAATAATAGACAGGGTTGGGCTTTTTATCTTGTTATTTCGAAAACTAATTTGAAAAATTATGAATAAAAATAATGATTATTTACTGGACTAATTTGTTGAAATTTGTTTTTTTAACAGGGTAAAAGAAATTCAGTCAATGTTGGAAGGAGGGGCTTTGGAGAATTATACATGTACAGTCCAGGGTCAAGCCATGAACTCTACGGCAAGTATGCATACTTATGTGTTGGACAATCAGCTTTGCTCAAACCTATAACTTTAGGTCCTGAACAATCGTGGAAAGGCGAGCAGCGCTTACATAATCCAAATCTTTAAATTCCATAGTTAACACTTCCATCTTGTAAAAAGAACCCATCATATAAAATGCATCAACTAAATGAATTGAGTCTGGCTTTGTTGTGTTGATGTCAAAATTTTCTATTTCTTCTCTTTTCACAGAACTGCTGAACAATGACTCTTTGTTAGGTCTTTATTGACTCAATTTAACTTGCTCTCAGGTTTATTCCTCCCCATTTTGGAGGCCAGGTTTTTGTAGAAATTTCCAGTAAATGCCATCATTGTTACAAACAAATTGTGAATTTGTTGTTTTCGAGAATGGTGGAGATAGGAGTGATCACAACAGTGCTTATCACCATGACTTTCGGAGTATCGTTCTGTGATATATTCTCTCTTTTCTCAGGCTCACTAATATCCGAAATGGGACTGATGACAGACCAACTTCTGTAGTCATTTACAATAACTGGACAAAAAGCAAGCTCTGTTGGTTACATAGACTGTTGGTTACAAAACTATATTCGGCGTTTTAAGAAAAATCTTAGATGATAAGCCTCCAGCTAGAAGAGATCTATGATATAATCCAAAAGAGAGCTAATTGAAGTTTCAGAAGATGAAACAAGTACTCATTTGTACAGATACAATACATCTTAACAGATTGATACATAGTAGGTCTCTTTTATGGAGAAAAATAATGCTGTTTTCTCATGACAACTAATCATGCTACATTGGAAATTAAGGAAGCTAAGTTGGAACCATTCCAACGAATTCACCCTGATCACCTAGCAATAAAACTGATGCAAAACCTAAAGAAAATACCAGGACGATTAACAACACCAAAGTGGCCATCTTCCGCAAGTTCCGCCCAGGAATTTTCACAATCTTCTCAGATGTACTTTGATCTCTATGTAACATTTTGAGAGAGACATCGCCATTAGCCATGGCCAAAACGTCTTGAGTTGATGAGACTGATTCTGAAATAGAATGACTTTGATGATCTTCACATTCATCTGTTATGTTGCCAGTGCCATCTTGGGGCCTATTTTTATTTAAGCAACTGCTTTGGTTATACTTGACTACAGGGCTCCATTCACAATTTGCTGAGCAAGGACTTCTCTGTCTTCTAGATTGATCCCCATAGTAGTCTGAATTCTCATCATTATCCTGAAGTGAACGAACAAGCTTCCTAGGAGTAGTAAAAATCTTAACATAATCGAGATTTATCTGAGAGCGCGTCCTCTGAAAACACCAAAAAGAAAGAGATTAGCTTAGCAGGTTTCAGGATTATTGCAGCCACAGATCAATATAGTAGATTAAGGCCGTAAATTTTCATCCTGAGATAGGCAATTATAATGATAATATGATGTCTTGCCAAATAATTCCTTTAATTAATTTCAACACCTGAAGGATAGGTAGATAATATGGCATACATATTCAGAACTATGCACCAAATCAAAACTTAAAAATGCCAACATAAATTCTAGCTCCATGATTAAAAAGTAGAGGGAGTTAAAAGGATGTGATAAAATATAAACAAAAGCATAAAGAATGCACTATTAAAAATACTCAAGCAACTAAACACAGATTTAAACAACAGCAATTATTTCAAATATTATACATGTTGGTAGAAGAATCATATGCTATAGCATGTTTCTAGGCCCATACAACCTTGTATGTCAAGTTTTATTTCCTAGCAACTGTAATCAGGGAACTAAGAAGCTAAAGTCTACGCAGCATTATTGTTTTAACAATAATTGTGATCAATGTTTATATTACCTGAGGACTGGGAGTTTGGCTTCTCATTGATGGACTTTGAGGTCGGCTTCTCAGAGTTTTGTTTACTGGACTTTGAGGTCGGCTTCTCAGAGCTCCATTTGCTGGACTTTGAGCTCGCCTTCTAAATGCTACATTTGATGGACTTTGTGGTCGGCTTCTCAGAGCTCCGTTTGCTGGACTTTGAGCTTGCCTTCTGAATGCTCCATTCGATGGACTTTGAGGCCGGCTTCTCAGTGATCCATTTACTGGAGTTCCAGGAGTAAACCCTGGAAATCCATTAGCATAACTTCTACTATCAGAACCTTCATCTTGTTCTGAGGACACATGAGATCTGATGCTTTCGTGAGCAAGTTCTGAGAAAAGTCCATCCTTTAGGGATACATTCACATATCCATTTTCTTGATTCCATTGTTTCCTGTTGAAATTTCTCCTGATATGATTCCCATTACACGAAGCTTGACTCATTGACATTGGCGAGTCCATGAAAGACTCACCAAACGAATCAAAGGTCAGTGATTCGGGTGACACAGATAACGGTGACTGACTGCCAGGACTTGATAACTGTCTCCGGCTATTACTACTCCTACTGAAGTTGGAACCAGTCATTGAAACCTCATCACAACTGATCTTAGACCCTTGATCTACTAATAGTTTTTTAGCAGTCTGCAATGCTTCAAATGCAGCCCCCTTTACATATGGCATCTGATCAGATTGACAATTCTCCATCTCCACTATAATCGAGTCTAGCTCCGAAAAAATACTCCTAATATCCAAGCATTTCATCAAGGAATGCACCATCTGAATGGCTGTCAAGCGTTTCTGCGAATTCTTCTCAGTCAGGCCACAATTCAAGATATTCAACCCCGCCCTTATCAACAGCCGTGCATAAGCCTCAACTGTAAGACAATTGCGCTTGGCCAACGACATAACCAACCCCATATGAGAATTCGTTTGTGTCGATTTATCCTCCAAAGCACTAGCTAGCTTTAAGCAAACCTCATTCACCATTTCATCAGAAGCAAACCTCCAATTATCACAATCCACAAGGGCTTTCAAACAAAGGGCAGCACCACAAGACAGGCTCTCTTGAGAGCCCAAAAGAGCATCTGTAAGTGGCTTACAAAGCGAATGGATCAACTGTTGCTTCTTATCTTCCGGTGTAGCGGGCTCAATCCCATACCTAGCAATTGCAGGAACTACCTTAGAACATGCCTGCTGTAGAGGAAATGACCCTCCACTAGTAGTCAAAGTCTTAATAATAGAAGACATGATATTATCAAGTTGTGGCACAATGTTAGGCCCATGTACCCTAGCAAGAACTTCATAGATGGAAATGGTGTACTCCCCCGGCGACGAACCGGCATCCTTAGTCTCCGAAACTTGAGCAAGAAATAGTGGAATCGCTTTCGAGTCCATGTCTTTTACATACAATTTCAGTGCTTTCATTGCAGACCTCCTACAGTCTGCATCTTTTAACTTGGCTAACTCTTGTCGCAATGCAGGACTCAAATTCCTACCCATTGATAACCTGGTCCAATTTTATACATACACAGATAAGAAACAAACCAATAAAAATCACATCACAAAATACATATAATCCACTAAATACATTCAGATTCCCATTTCACATTTTCAATTGAAAGGAAAATCCCACATCAATTTTACTTAATTAAAGAACCAAAAATAGTCACTTAATTGAAAAAACAAATACACAAAGGACTGAACTTTATTATAATAAACACAAAATAATCAAATACCCATTTTACTATGACATTATTGAATAAAACCCACATCAATGTCACCATATAGAACCAAAATATGCAGCAAAAATATTGAAAAAAGAGAGTGGACTTTTAACCAAGAAATCATATTTTTCGGCCTTGTGATTATAAATTTGCTAAATTATTAACAGCCCATCAAATATTTACACATTTTGTGAAAAACCCACATCAATTAAACCTTAAAACCCCCCAAAAATCGACCCAAATCAAATTAAAAAACACAAAAAAAAGTTAAACTTTTATTAAGTGTAGAAAAAGGAAGAAAGAAATTACCTGGGCCAATGCAGCAGATTAAAGAAAGAGATAAAAGTCGAATTACTGTTGAAGATATTCACTTCAAATGATGAAATTCTTTAATTTGAAACTGGGGAAAAAAAAATTAAATGGGAAAAGATAATGAAAGATCTACTCTTTCTCTTTAAAGAAGACAGAGAAAGTAAAAATATTCAAAATTTGGAAAGAAATCAAGAAATGAATAGTGAAAGAAAATGAGGAAAGAGCAGCTGTAATGCATGAAACAGGGGTTTAAATTTTTCTGGGGTTTCTAATATTTTGGTTTATTTTTTAGGGTTTAAACAATTATTACAGCATTTAAGAATGTGTACTGTATGATCCAATTTAAAAATGTTTATAGGTTTGAATTTTTTGGCATGAAATGCGCGCATTGTGTTAGTGACGTTTGAGTAATGTGGATAATAAAGACAAACCATTTGAATCTATTGTTGGGAAACGGGAATAGGAATACCCTTTAATTTGAATTTTTTTTTATTTTGATGTAATTCCCCCCGCTGTTTCTCACTCTCCTCAGCTCTTTTTTGTCCATTTCCTCTATTTTTAAACTAACCTTTTTTTTTTTTTTTTTTTTTAAATTAACCTATGGTCTTCTTTTTTTTTTTTTTTTTGAATTTGTTTTTGTTTTTGTGATCTAAGGAATATACTCTCTATGTTTTAATATAAATATCATAATTAGATTGACATACCTCTGTTTGTCGTAATACTTCCTCCGTTTTTTTCATAATTGCAACAGTTTGACTTTTACACTATTCGTGTGTACACATTGATTAGGTTTGATGATTTATACTTAAGCAAAAATTTAGTCATGTGAGATGTTATTAGATTCGTCTCAATTTATACTATATTAATATCAAATGCTTATATTTTTTACATATTGATAATTAAAGATATTAACGATTGAAATCATGCATTGGCAAGCGTGAAAAGAGAAGTGTTGCAACTATAAAAAAAAACAGAGGAAGTATAATCATACAAATACTCCCTTTGTTGTTAAATACTTGTTGTATTTTTCATTACCGACCATATTTAAATACTTGCTCCATTTCCTTATTTGAAAAGTTTTTACAATCTTTAATTCATTACTCTCAACTAGTGGACCTAATCCTGGGCACCGTGTCGTGCCGGGCCGCCGCGGGCCGTGCCTGGCGGGCCACGGGCTGGTTCGTGCCGTGCCGGTCATGCCGGCGGGCCCAGGATTTCGTGTCGTGCCGTGCCGGCCATTTTCACAGGCCAGCCCACGGCACGGCACGGCCCTCGTGCCTGGCGGGCTCGTGCCGGCCTGCGGGCTGGCAGCGGGCTGGTGCAGTTTTCAAATAATTTTATTTTATTTTTTTTTATTTTTTTTATTTATTTTATATGACAACATTATAAATTAATAAGTTTATAATGTATATAAGTTATAAAATTATAATTATAAGTTTTATAAGGTAACTTATAAGTTTATAACTTATAAGTTATAAGTTATTAAGTTATGAATTTTATAATTATAAGTTGAATATTTATGTTTTATAATTTGTATATTAATATTTATATTTATATATTTACTTTATACTATTACTTTAAAATTTAATGTTTATGATTTATTAGTAATTGGTATAATTTTATTTTATTTTAATATGAATTTACAAATTGTAACAAAACGGGGAAAAAAGGCAAATTGGACTTTGGATGTGAATAATGCGTACTTTATATTATTATTACTTGAGTTGAGAAAATTGTACAATGATAACAATGATAAAAATCATACAATGATGGTATTAAACAAAAATTGGAAAATGATAAAATTGATATTTTTAAAATCGTACAATATACAATAATTGTCTATTCTTCTTCTCCTTCTTCTTGCTCGTCTTCGTCTTCGTCTTCGTCTTCGCCTTCGCCTTCAAGGTCATCGGCTAGTTGCATAGATTGGGAACTAGCCGAACCCGAACCGGAAGCGGAGGTTCCTTCTTCGTTGTCGTTGTGGTCGTAAGAACGGTCTTGTGAGCGATTTTCCGCATCCAACCAATCTTTGAAACACACGCACATTTCTAGTGTTTCGGGTTTTAGACTTGTTCTTCTATCGTCTAAAACCCTTCCGGATGCGCTGAAAGCTCGTTCGGAGGCGACGGAGGAAACTTGGATAGCAAGAATGTCTCGTGCCATTGCCGCCAAAGTTGGATGCTTCGAGCTTTGTTGTTTCCACCATGCAAGGAGGTCGAGGCTGTTTATCTCATCGTCGTCCATGCCTTTGGTGAAGTCGTAACTCAGGTACATCTGCAACTCCGAGACGTCGCTTTGCGTTCTCCTGATTGATGAATCACCTGAAAACCTTGAAATCAAGTTAGTAGCTTGTGAAAATAAATGTTTGGCCTTCTTACTTACGTTTTTGGATGGTTGGGAAGGCCCTGAGCGAGGAACGGTGCCATATTTGGCTTCATAGACTCTATATAAAGCAAAAAACTGATCCTTCACATTAGTCTTATAGTTTTCTACATCATCGTCAAGAAACATGCATTGAAAGTAAATGTCAACTAACATAAATGTGTTTTCATACTTTTGCCTAGGATCTAATATGGAAGCAAAAATATAAATCAAAGGAATCTCACTATAATATTTACGCCACTTTTTTTCCATTGCTGGAAGATACTGATCATAATCACTTTGATGGCGATGATCAGCGAAAAGTTGGGCGAGTAAGCATGCATTAGAAAGAAAGTTTTGAGCACAAGGATTGTAAACAGTAGAAAAACAATACGTCATGTTATATAATAACTGTAAAAATTGCATATATCTTTCACAGTTTTTCCAATCATCATCATACAAAGCATTTTGTGGAAATTTTTGGTTGTAAAATAATGTTAACGGGCCCTTGTACTCAATTGCCTTTGTTAACATGTCATAGGTGGAATTCCACCTAGTTGGGCAATCGGTTCTAATTTTTATTACCCTTATCTTTTGTTGTTTTAGAAAACTCTTCCATTCTTGGTATCTCATGTTAGAGCTATTAATAGACATAATAGCATCTCTGATTTTGCTGTAGTATGGGCCAATTGCCCGAACTCCATCCTGTACACATAAGTTAAGTACATGGCAAACACATCTAGTATGAAGAGCTTCACCGTCTAATAGTACATCAGTTAAGTTTTGTTTGATAAGATTAGCTGTGTATGTCATAGAGGTTGCATTATCAAAAGTCATAGACATCATTTTATCTCGAAGGTTGTATTCGTCTATTGCTTGCATTAAATGGTGAGCAATGTTAATGCCGGTGTGTGGGTATTCCAGCATTTTGAAATGTATTATTCTTTTTTGTAACATCCATTGATCATCTACCCAATGGCAAGTCACACATAAATAGTGATATTTATAACCACTATCCCAAGAATCGGCTGTTAAAGATACTCTACAGTTAAGGTTACTCAATTCGGCTTGTAACCGGACTTTGTACTCTAGGAAATTTTTCATTGCGGCGGAACGAACGGTATTCCTAGAGATTCTTTTATGTTGGGGTTGTAGTGCTTTGTTAATGTAGGTGTTGAATGCGTCACTTTCCGAGAAAATAAAAGGTTGTTCGGCGTGTACTATCATTTTTCCTAGTTCATCCCTATCCCTCTCATAGTTGTATGTAAAGCCGTATGGATGGAATTGGGAAATTTTGGGCTGGGTTGGATCACTAGCTGGTTTTGCACAAGCTTTCATGTGTCTAGATAAGTGTCCCGTCCCGTTTTTGGTAATTGCCGTGAATACACTATTACATGTTTTACATTTTGCTTATTGTTCACCATCTTTACTTAGGACAAAATAACGCCATACCTCACTCCTTCGGTTTTTCAAAAGTAGCATCTCAGTTTCGGTTAACCATTCATGATGTGTGTGATGGTTAGTAGTGAGACTAGTGGGAGTGGCAGTAGAAGGGGTAGAACCGGAGGGAATTCGGGTACTTTCTTGGCTACCTTGGCTAGAACAATATTTTTGTTGATCACCGATATAATTAGGTGGAAATTGGTATGGTGCTGGAAATCCCGACGTATTATATGGCTCATAGCCCGGGGGGAAGTAAATGGGGTCATTGGTTTGACTCGTAATTTGGGGGCTCGTTGTATTTGGTGGTTCCCTAGAACTACTACTACGGATAAGTCGGCCTTTCCCCCTAGACCTAGATGATGGGTTGTTCGATGCCATAATTAACAATTAATTTTTTAATAAAAAGTGGTTAACTATAATAATAATAATTAATAACAACAATTTTAACAATAAAAATATCAATAATATTAATTAATAACAACAACTATAACAATAACAATAACAACAAAAATAAATAATAACAACAATTGTAACAATAATAATAATTAATAACAACAATTATAACAACAAAAATAACAATTAACAACAATAATAATTAAACAAGATTATTCTAATAATAACAATAAAACAATAATAAATTTAAGATTAGTTTAGATCTTACAACCGTGCTTCAACGATCCACTAATTACGATTACGAACTTTTTAATTTTTTCCGATATTAGGAAAATAATTAGAGAATTTAAGAGAATAATTAGAGAATTTAAGAAAATAAGGATTATTAGAGATTTAGAGAATATAAGAGATAAGAAGAAGAGATTGTGATTTTGTGATTTGGGAATGAAATGGAGGTGAGTATTTATAGAATTTTTGGGGAGCAAATTGGCAAAAAACTAGCCGTTTTATAGCCGTTTTTTGGCTTATTAGAGGTAGATGAAACGGTAACATTACCGTTGGCCCGCGGGCCGTGCCTACGGGCCGTGCCTGCGGGCCAGCACGGCGGGCCATGCCCGTGCTCGTGCCGGGCCGTGCCTGGGAATTCTCAACCCTGTCCGTGGCACGGCCCGTGGCACGGGAGTTGAACTTCGTGCCGTGCCGTGCTTGACTTCGGGCCGTGCCGGGCCGTGTCGGGCGGCACGCGGGCCAACCCGGCCCGTGCCCAGGTTTAAGTGGACCCAAAATAAATCATGCTCCGTATGTTATTAATTTCATATTCTCTTAAGTACTTTTACTTTTTATAATTTTTTATTCTACCTACCACACCACCTCCATATTTTATTACTTTTTTCAATTTATCCTAAAACTCCATGTATTGAGAATGGAGCAAGTATTTAAAACACATAAAGAGTAATGTACAAATAGAGATCGGAGTGATGTGTGAATAGTGCAAAGTCAAATAGGGTCATTTATTTTGAAGGGGAGTAACAATTTGAATTGATTTTGAAAGAATATTATTCAATTACGAAATATCGAATTCGAACATCGTAAAAGAATAAAGGGCATTTTATACTAGTGAATCAATATCAAACGGATAGAGTTGATCTGATCCATCACCTGTTTCATCCGTCACCACTCGCTTCTCATCCATTCAATTGGGGTTTTCTTCCAATATTTTGAAGTAGATGGATCGAGTCCATAGATATCTGTCTAATTGTCATTCTTATTCATCGTGGATGTGTGTTACACATCATATTCCTTGTGTGTGTGATATAAACCATGCTGTGAACTCTAGGCCAAGGAATATCTTCTCGAACAAGTGTACCTTTTTTTGATAACTCTTGTCATTCATGAGAATACAGTAGATGTTGGCTAGTTGGAAAAAGTCGATCTAATTATTGGTTGGTACATCCAGGTAGAGGTGTTTAAAAAAATCCGACCCGATTGTCTCGCAAAAAACCTAATGGAAAATTGACAAATTTTTCTATTTTTTCCGGGTAAGGTACCCGTCTCGTTAAAATAGTAGTTTCGTAGGCCGGGACATGGAACAGGCTTTGCTAATCTCGGGTACCCGGATACCCGTTAAAAAAAAAATAATAATAATAATTGTCTGTAAACATAACCTTTACTTGTCTGTAATTGTTTGTATACTGAATTACTTAACTAAAGCTACGAATAAATCCTCCTGATTCTGAGTCATTTTACAGCTTATTGCTCTTCTTCTGCTACACCAGTCCCGAATTTTTGTTTGTGGCCAGTGGGATAGTAATCCATTTGCATTTTCTGAGAAG